TATTTTGATATTTGAATTTAAAGTTCACTTGTATGTGAGACTATATCATGCCAAAGTTCATACATATGTGGCTTATTTTAGTTTTATTCTATTCTATAAATCAGTCTATCTTATGGTTCCTAGCACATTTACCACATTGTCTTAATTACCTTAACTTTTACGAAGTCTTAACTTTTAAAAAGTCTTCATAACAAGTAGGATAGGCCTCTTTCTGTTTACCTTAGAATAATCTTGGTTATTTTTCAAAAATAATCATCTTTTTGGAAATTTGTTGGGATTTTTACTAAGAATTCCATTGAATCACCTTGAGGAAAATGAATGATTTTAACCATTTCTAGCCTCAATATAAATCTCTCCATTTATATAGGTCTGTTTTGTTGTCTTATCAGTCTATTACTGCTATTTTCTAAATATTGCAGAATGTTAGAACTGGAAAAATCTGTATTGTTAATTTTAGCCCTCTTATTATATAGATAAAGTTAACTGAGTTACTGAGAGGTGGTGGACTTGCCTCTGAGTAACATTGCCTTAGTGAGTGATTTGAAATAGCACTATCTGTATTTTAAATTTTGCCCATATTATAAAATGTCATTTGGGGCTGGGGGTTTAGCCCAGTGGAAGGGCACTGCCCGGCACATGCAAGGCCCTGGGTTGGGTCCTCAGCCCTGGAAAAAAAAAAAGCTACAAAATATCATTTTATATAACTTTGAAGGAAAAAATAGGTTGGTTCACCTTGGTCACTTTAATAAAAGTTCTTTTAGTATATAATATGTTATTTAAACTTTTATTCTAATAGACAGGGTCTCAGACCCATTCCTGAAGCAGAAATTGGATTGGCAGTTATTTTCATGACTACTAAGGGTTACTGTGATCCTCAGGGCCAACCCAGTACAGGTAATAAAACATTTATGTTGATTCTCCGGCAACTTTGTTTATTTGCACTGATGATAGATTGTATATACTTTAGTTGCCACGCTTGACCATAACTATATTCTTTTAAAACTCACCTGTTTATTCATTAATTTACTAATTCAAAAATACTTCTGCCATGTATGGAGCACTATGGTAGGCATTGAAGATTTAGTAATGAATAAACAGGATCCTTATTTTTATACTTTGTAAAATGTATCTTCTGGAAGTCAAGATGTAGACACTGAACTAGTGGACAAATATACTTAAGTTCATATAGGGCCAAGTACAAATAGAAAGGCTTAACAAGGTGATGAGCAGTTCATAGTATAACTTCTTACACATATGTATAGGTAAATTATGTGGGTTCTGGGCTGGGAAGGTGGCTCAGTGGTAGAGCGCTTGCCTTGCATGCCAGAAGCCCTGGGTTCAATTCCTCAGCACCACATAAGCAAAAAGAAAAAAGCCAGAAGTGGCGCTGTGGCTCAAGTGGTAGAGCACTAGCCTTGAGCTG